TGAGATACACATAAGGTGTAACTGGTTTTGATTGTTAAACCATTGATGACAGCCAACCGATTCACCTAAGTTCACCCCAAGAATACCAACCTGTCACTGAACAAATATTGTTACTCACATAGACCCATGATTCTCCTACATCGCTCGGATTGCACCGTAAGCCCAAAACTCGGCCCTGGTCGTAGTGACTGTGGTCAGCTTTGATTATTGAGCAACTACGAACAAATGTACTGGAGCTGTAGTGGGCAGGAAACAGTGCGTCATGCTTATCGAGTGGCGTCCAGCTTGGTTGTCACACGCAAACAGCATGGCTTCACCGACCCACCGATTCGACATCCGTCACAGAGCTCAACAAGATGCACGACTGAGGTTTACTTTATTTTAACACAGAAAGACAGGTGGTCAATCCGGGGGTAGAAAAAATGTGTGTTCAATTGACCAATGAGGTGCGCTGAAAGGAAGCGGATCCAACCACAGCTATTCTTTCTCAATTCCAAATTATGACTCCACTATATTCAAAATGACGGTTTCGCAAAATGAAAATTATAGTTTCTCAAATCTAACTTAAAATGGTATAGTTGTAGTTGACTTGTGGATGAACAGCATCACCGAGTGAGTGAAGGTCTCCCAAATCCCCCCGAGACATGTGCGTGTAGACACACACACTGAGTAACAAAACTGTGAACCAAAAAAAAACTGGAAAATACCAGGATCTACCCCTTTTCCTAGCAAGCTTTAGCCAAAACCCGCAGACCTTTTTTCTCGATCCGTAAACTGAAATGTCACGTAGACAGTAAAATGCTTTGCATTCGCAAGCCCTGAAATAAATCAAAAATTAATACTATAAGAAAGTGCATGCTTACAGTTTCTTATATCCACATAAAGCGAACTCCGCTCTTGAGATGTGCTTACCGTTTCCAACCTAGCTACAGACTAAATCCGTAATTCTTGAACCTCGAGTGTGGTAATTATGTCAAATATTACAGTGTTACTGGGACGTGCTTTTGTGAACGGTATTTATTATCTTCGGCATGTTTACGTACCTACGTCTAATGAACAGAATTCACTCGTCAATGCAAAACAATGTACCGCTTGTAATACAACGGAGATTTTTTACTCACAGGAGTATCGTATGTTTTACGGAAAAACATTGAAGTTGTACGAGATGTGCTAAATGGCTTTGACGATATGTGCACATCGGTTACACCTTTAATCAAGCTTTGTAAACATCCACATTTGTAGAAAATAATTTTAATCAACATCCAATAACTTCAGAATATTCCGATACTTTTCCATCTGACTCGTCGAGGCTAAAGCTTGATGAGAAAAGGTGTAGTCATGATGTGCAACGTGGAGAACGGTGTCATACACAAGCTGACTCAAGTCAATAAACATCAAATAAAATTCAAAATTCACTACGAACACAAAGGGAGATGACGAACGAGAAGAGCAGTGCGAACTGAATGAAAAAAAATTTACCGGAATCGGTTGCTGAAGCGGTAGTCTGTTGTTCCGAATCGTTGTTATCGTCCGTTGCATCCACCGTGGTCAAAGCAGGACACGGTACAAATCGCAGCAATACTGGAGAAACTGCAGATTCCATTAGGTTGGTATGCACTTTACGGGGACAAATAATGTCCGCACTAGATGTGCTATTCCCGGTAGTCGAAGGGGCCGATCTTCGACGCTCTTTCGCGGACCATCTCCAGTCCGGATTGTGTCGAAAATGTGCCGCTTTTAACTGAGGAAAAAGGTGATCAGTGACAAAAACCGACCACATATCATCCAAGTATGTCCGGAAGTAGAAACAAACTGTCAGTTACTAAACATACTCCTTGTTGCATGTATCGAATAAAAGACGATAGGGATGGTAATAATACGGACGAAATTTTCTTTATATACATGATGTCAACAGATTTTGTCGTAGATCAATGCTCAACAACCTGTGATCATCATCTGTGTGACTTGATTCAGTGTGACGTTTCATATGTCCTACATAGGACTCTTTCTTGTGCACTATCGCGTTCGTCATATCAGTTCTAATTGGATTTTGTGAAAACCATTTACGCTGCACTGTTGTGAGGCGGTTCTGGTTTATATATAAAATTTGGACTTCACATCCACCGCGGTCACTCCCAATGTCAGTCACATTTAGACTTCAAAACGACAGTTTACCACAACTCCGTAAAGGTCGTTCTACCTTTTGTTTTCCTTGACTGGTCTATGGGCACTGAAAATGTGTTGAAATTCTAACTTGTCTTCAATTCTATTCATCACTACTTTACGCAATAAACTGTGAAGCATTTAGCCTCCTTTGTCCACGTCATCAATACAGAAAGAAGACAGTTGCCACGAGATGTTAACATTTCGTTTAATCATCTTAGTCGTTGACTTAAAACAAAGGGATACATATGTAGCACAAAGGATTGTTCATTTATGGTGTGTACAAACGTTACGTGGACGATATTTTTATTCCAACGGATAAAGAACATATTAAAACACCTTTACAATATTTCAACGCAGTTAACATCCACACCTTTCACTATCTCATGGAGCAGAAACCAATAACACTCGGGCATTTCTAAACATGAAAGTTACGAGGTGAATGAATGAGACACTAAAACGCTCAGTTTAAAGAAAAGCGATATGGAACGGTTAATACGTACACTTTTCCAACTTTTAGCCCTATGGCTTACAAACATGAGCTTTTGAGAACCGCATTTCATCGGGAAAGTGTCATATGCTCTCCCCAGATACACCAAAAGGAATAAGAGGACCTCCTGAGGAGAACACCATTTCTAATCAATGGTGACCCAGAAAGGCTTATGGATATTCATAGTAGACCGTTTCCAAAAAGTTAGAAAAAAGAACACCTACTTAAAGCTTGCATTCAAAGGTGACCACATTTGCAATAATGTGCGCCATGAGTTGAAATCAGCCCTAAACTGTACATTCTCAGCTGCTCAACTCAGACTCATTGCATCTAAACCGTGGAATCGATTTGATCAAACGTAANNAACATGGCTGGCAAACCGGTTCCGTTTCTCTCACACACACTGTGTACCAGTTCACCTGCAGTTGTGGTGACACTTACATAGGCAGAGCACATTGTCAGCTCTCTCTCCCTCTCGCACAAAGGCGACGATAAATCGGCACGATCCAAATGGCATGGCTATGATTGAACAGAAGAACCTTTAGTACCAATCATAGTATTTACAACATACACGAGAACACACACAAAAAAACGAAGTCGCAACATGTTCACAACGATTCAACAGCATTTGTACAACACGAACACCACGACCACCAGCACCAGCACCGATCAATAAGTTACCTCGCGTGCAAGTTTTTGATATTCCGCCTTTTCTTCCGCGCTCAATTTGTACCACCATTCTCCGAGAATCTGACTGGCCACTCGATTGTCTTTGTTCGGATACAATCTATGCACCTCACCCCGATGTCGCATGGAGAACAGAATGAATGCGTTCATCGGACGACGCACGTGGCGACTGGAACTAATCAAGGACGAGGCACGCCTGAATTTGGAAAACGATCGGGATTCGGAACTTTCTGGCTCGTTGGAACAATTTTCCATCTGTTTATCAATGTCAGTAACAGCCGTGGTAACGGACGGTAGCTCGTCTGGAGTTGTCTTCATGCTATCAGCAGAAGTGATCTTGATGATTGGAAAACGAAAGTCAGAAGAGTTTGTTTAAAATAAAAACGGACCAAAAATAACGGTTTTTCTTTTTCCATGACTTGTCAAAAATCCAATACTAAATAGCTCAACCCTATTGGCATCAACCAAACCTCGTGACTCGCTGACTATTGTTGACAAGTAGTATCGCTTTCACATGCATCCAATGATAAAGTTCATGTATATTGTCCGATATGCGGAAGCGCAGCACAAGCCGTAGTGTCAAACAATCTTTGCTGACTAGCATAGCATTTTTTCATTATTTCATTTTTTACGCATGATATTTCCAGTTTCAGTTTGTACAACCATTAACCACGCATATTCGAGCGCCGGTTTTGGTTGCTGTCTTTTGGCTGCTTATTTGGATGAAGAATTAGGCATGATGTGCTCGATTACTCAGTGAATCCATAGTCGGAATAATCTCGTTAGAAAAATACCTACATAGATTACGCTGGTTGGGGCCTCCAAAAGCCTCCGGTATGGTCGGGGGCGGGTGTCTAGGGTTGCGGCTGGTCACCCTGCCCTTGCACCCAGCGAAATGCTCCCATACGATCAAGCGTCTCAAATAGCCTCTGCTGAGGAGGCCCTACTCACTGCCTTCTCGCGGTGGAGGTGTTTTCCCACTAAAGTGAGAGGACGAAAAGCCGACATCCGGAGTTATAACCGGGTTGGTGGACCACTGGCAGTTCACCTAGGGGAGTTGGTCAAAAACCCTGATTCCAAACCAATCATGAGGAGACGGACGAACCACACCCACACCTTTTCGATTGTGGCAGTGGTCACCGGCTCAACTGGGCTTGGAGGTGTATTGAACACTTTGGACGTCTGACCCCGTCCGAAGGGTGTATGATCCGATGAACTGGACACCAGCCGACTCAACGGATTGCGGATTTCACACACCGCCCCGCTGCCTTGCGGGTCAGGCTTTGGCTAGCCGATGGCTCCGGTTGTGGATTCCTCAAGAAAATTCACCTGCCTTGGCCTGGGCAACCTGGCAGTACTCAGCCCACAAGCCAGTCATGGAACATTTTCTTTTTTGTAAAGATTAT